GTTCGGCACCACATGCTTTTACGCGACGAGGATCTGCGCCACCTGAACTTTGCTGACTGTTTTTGCACGATCCTTCCAAAGCAGCAGCATAAAGGGATCCAGCAAGCAGTTGCTTTGGTTTTTTACCTTGACAAGGGGAAAACATTAAAGGAGGGCGAAGTCAGGTTCGGATGTGCAATCCGACACGAGAATGTATACCGATGTCCTTTCAGTGCCTTTGCCTTCTATATGTTTAGTCAACATCAGGTATGCTTGTGCATATTTATAAAAAAAATTAGGGATTCAATATGGACGCATTTTTTGGAAATATCTTTTATATCATGATGGTATAAAAGTTATTTTGGGCAATCAACTTTTGAGCAATATAAAATATAGGTTTTGGTAGAAGCTAGTAGCCATGGTTTTATAACAACTATATATTTTAATGATAAACCTGGAAAGAGAAGTATAAAGTTGAGTATTACATATTATTATTTGATGATAGCATATTTTTTTTGTATATATATAGAGTACGACATAAACATGTTGATCAGGCTTGTTCTATATTTATGTACGTATCTTTTGTATCACTGTCTTTCTCTCTCAATAATATATGTGTATCCAACAATAATCCGTCATATTTTATAGTTATAATAATTTATGGATCTTCAAAAAAGGGAAAATCTATAGGTATAATGTGTTATTTGATCATATTACTAATAATTATAGATGATTACAAAAAACGACTTAACTTTACATGAATATTTTTTTTTTCTTCATAGCAGCATTGCTTTAAGTTGATTGTGTCCGAAAGATGTGTCCAAAGTGTCTGATAAAAGCTACTAAGTCACTAATATTAGTTAAAAAGGAAAATGGGGATTTCTTAGATGATGCAAATTGGCAAAACTGGAAGGTACTCCGTGGACGCAATGGGCCTGAAGAACCCATTAGCACCGCCCAGCAGTACAGAGTTGCTAAGGCTGTACTTACTTCTCTTGGTATCCATTCCAGCAGAGTAACTCATGGTGGTCGTCATGCCGGTGCTATGGAAGCCGAAGCACTTGGTATACCACTGGATATCATTAAAAAAGGAGGAGGTTGGAAGGATCGTCTTGGCCGCCTTGAGACACATTATCTTGGTAAGTTGCCATCGCAATTTGCAAAAGGCATGGCAGGTTTTTGGGAGAAGTCTTTCCGCTTACCAAGGAATAATGTGTCTCCCTCTCTCTCTCTTCAGCGCACCATTTTTCCTTGGATCGAAAATTATTTTGGGTCAGATAATGATTCATGGAAAAAATTTTGTGAACAAGAAATGAAGGAAAGAGATGATAACATAGACGATTCTATGTCAGATGATGACGCAGGGGAAGGTGGTGTACGACAACAAAGGCGCAGAAGAATGTCACCACGCCCTCTGTACCAAAGTGGTGATACTTCCAAACGTGGTTTTTTGCGGCTGTTGTTACGCTGTAGAAGGATTATCCTACAGGATGCAGCTGTTTTTTTTACGAAAACTGGAAGAATAATATGTTTGTTGATTCCACCTGTGTTCCTTTTAATTCTCCAGGGTTCAAGGAATTCCAAAAAGAGGTTGTCGCATCCTTGAGTGACCCGGACAACAACATCCTACAACAGTACGAAGGATTAGTCCCTTCTATTGTTGATTCACAAGTCGAAGTGGCGACCTGGCTTGGAGAAATCAGCAATAGAGTAGCCATTGGTCAAGAGAAGGCCGAAAATTCGTTTGCTCAACAGCAGCAAGTGAATTCACGCATGGAGAGTATGTTGCTTGGTGTAAACCAGCAACTACAACAAGTTTGTCGCAACCAGCAAATGCTGATTGTGAATCAGCATTATCTTGGTTACCAAGTGCAATCATTGATGATGGCTAATATGCCTGTCAATGATAGTAACTTCGTACCTCCTGCACCATCTTCTTCCTCTTCTTCTACCTTTGTCCCACTTCCACCTCCACATGTGCCGCTTCTGCTTCCTCCTATTCCTCATTCTACTCCTCCTCCTCTTCCTCCTTCTCCTCCTCCTCATCCTTCTTCTATAGATCCAAATAGGAATAGTAGCCGCCCCTCGACTAAATCAAAAGGGAAGAAATGGGCCAGATGGATATCTTACGATCCTGAAGCCTAAATTATATATATTCTTGTAAATATATATATGTTAATATGGTTCTTGTAATTGTAAATAATCAAAAAATAGTTGTTTTTGGTTATGGGGAAGAAAATTTGTTAGTGAAGAGAAAATGTTTATAATTAGAGAGATTATAATTATTAGATTTGAAAGAAGATGATCATTATTTAAAGTGTGGAGAAACCCTTCTACTCTACACTAAAATAACCATCTGTTGTATCCAACATACAATGGCTTCTTAATTATTATTATTATTCATAATAGAAAACGCTATTCACCCTTTGCCTCACTTGTGTGGTGTTGTATCCAACATACAATGGCTTCACAATAAATAATAATTCTTCATTATTATTATTATTATTACTGTCATTCACCCTATATCTCACTTGTGCGGTGATTCTATTTGGATAATTACTTATGTTACACACAGTATTGCACCATCCTCTTTCACATATTGTTAATTATGCTGGATCACGCAATCCTTCTAACGATATCATTCATGGTCTACTTAAATATACTGTCCTCATAACACGCAATCCAAATGATGCAATCTATATTCTAATATTACACCATAATGTGCAAGTTGTGATAGTCCATCCATTGATGAGCACTTTCTTATAAATAGAGAGATTATTTTTTATCTTAATAAACTTGAGTTCATTATTTTCGGGTCTCGTTGACTTATCTCGTCTCCTTTTATTCTTTTTATTAATTGATTTCTCTCTGATACAACATGTGGTAATTATATTTGAAGCACAGCTACTGTGACACAGATTATGCTTTTCTCCTAGGCATATCGTTCATTATGCAAACGCGTAATTCACTTCTTGATTCCCACCATCATCGTTCACACATTCTATAACTTCCATTATTCACACAGTTTTATAGCATACATAATTTAAATGATGTGGTCCATAAGAAATATGATACTGTAATACACACGTAGTGGCAGTCCATCCATGATGAGCAAATTAGTATAAATAGAGAGATTATTTTTTGAATCATAATAAAGACACTGAATTATTTTGGGTCTCGTTGACTTATATTGTCTCCTGCTTATTTCTTTTATTTTTTGATCTTATTGATACAACACCATCACCTCCTAAGCCAAAAAATTATTTTCTCTTGAACCAAAAAATATTATTTTCATATCTTAACTGGTTTCATCTCTATATTTAAAAAATAATTATTTCCTGCTCATTTAGAAATGCAAGATTCATATAGCCATATTCAATATTTAGAAGAATATACAATTTATACATGCAGCTATTACGGGGATAACAATTTTTTAAAAAACAATTTTTACAAATAACACATCAAGATACCAAGGACGAGTGAAAACCTAGGTCATTCAGAAAAAAGCTGAACTTAATGTGGGCTTGGAAGAAAAACACAAAGAATCATATCAATATACTTATAAAATGCGTAATTCTTTTGAAGATTGGCTATTTTTTCAAAAACGCACACTATGCAGCATTCCATGTTGGATTGATGGTAAGGTGCTCATCAACAATCTTGTTTGAACTACATGTAAAGATTTACAACATTTTCTTTTGTCTATTATGGGAGAGGGTAGATCTATATTCATATAACAAATACTCACTCAAAAATGACAGAGTTATTATAATGTGCTAAGAGACTATCAGTTATTGAAAAGTAAGACATGTTAATTTGACTATTTGGATGTGTCTTACATTAAATGGAAACTAAAGTAATATGGTGTCTCGTGAACGAGCAATTGTTAGTTTATCAGGATAATGCATTCAAACAACAAAATAGCTGTGAAATTGTCCAAGATATTGGTATCTATAGTAATGGATTGGATTAGGATCGATAATGATAGGTATGAATAGCAACTGCAGTGGCCTAATCCCTTAGGTTGAATCAATATGCTTTTGTATAATTATTTTGGGTTTAAACAGTTTAATCTGTGTATTCATAATAATGGTAATGGGTTTAAATAGCATATTGGTTTGGATAGTATAGACAGTATAGAGCAACTTCGCAGGTAAGTTTGACTATTAACTTTAATTATGAATATAATCATAGTAATCAAACAAATTATCAGATTTTTTTTAATTATCCAAAATCACAACCACTATTATCTCACCATTAGTGCTATTGTTATAATATTTTATAATCTTAATCAAAGCCATTAATAAATAAATATTTATTATCTGAATATGTGTGTTCAGTCTTCGAGTTTTTTTTCTTTATTTTAAAAAACAATCATCATTATACCTATTTTTTATTGCTGAGTGATTAAAATATAAATGCCTCAACTATTGAAATCTATTGAAGATTAAGAACCAAAAATAATAATCATTATTATAAAAGCTTCAGACATTGCTATTTTTTTTAAAAAATAAATTAATAGTCAATAAACTCTGGTTGCGTTTGATCCAACACAATATCATATATCTTTTGGCATTTATTATTAAATAAAATTATATGTTATATTGAATATAATTACTACTGATTTAATTGTATATCATAGCACCATTATATTTAATATTTTAGCATAAATATCAAAAGAGGATTATATTAGAATGTTTTTTTTTCACAGCCCTGCTAGGCCATCAGTATAGAAGATTAGTATTTTCCTCATTTATTCCTAAAAAAGAAACGTTTCTAAAACAAGTAGCTTCTAAGTTTACAAGTCCAATAAGCAACTGAATTTTTTCATTAGCTTACTAATTCTTAATTTCCCTAATGAGTTATACCATTACAATACAATGCATCCTAATGGATAAAAAAGGAAATAACATGATTGACTACAGGCCAATAATATTAAAGGAATAAACTTTAGGTCTGGACCCTTACTGTCAAGTGAGTGAGGCCAGAAAAGATACCACAGAACCCCCCCCCAAAAATTGGGGGATGTAGCTCATATGGTAGAGCGTTCGCTTCGCATGCGAAAGGTACCCGGATCGATACCGGGCATTTCCAAGTTTGTTCCTCTTATTCAAAAGGAAAGAACCAAATAGATGTATACTCCAAAGTCGATCATCTTTGTAATCCACCAAATTTTTGATTTTTTTTTCGTCATCATCGATGGCATCATCATCTTCTTCTGGTGCTGCTGTTGATGATGAATATTGTTTTTTTCGAAAAAAGGAAAGAAAATGGGGGGGTGTGGAAAGAAGGAAAAAAAACAACAAAAGAAGGGAGTGATAAATAGAAACAATGCTACCTCAACAATAATATGCTTCAGTAATAATAATAAAAAAGATTATAATCATAAAGACGGTGGTAATGATGTTGTGCGTGATGTATGCATTGGTTTGGTAAAGAGATTGTTCTATATAAAGAGAAAGGTAATATAAAACCTTTTCATGTTTGTTTTAAAAACAAATTACCAGAAAGAATTGATCATCCTCCTACTTCAATTCACTTCCGAATAACTCATTCAAATATTATCATACTCCGATGAATGTGTCATTCTTTTTATTTTATACATTTAATGTATTTAATTAATGGGTATTAGGCGAGCACCTTATTATTTGTCAATTGTTACTAACAAATAGATTAAATATAATCACAAAATATAAATGTTATTTTATGATGAATTATTAAAATAAACCACACACCTTTTTAAATCATTATCATTATAGAAAACTAAAGATATTCCGAATCAATATATAGCAGCTGATGCAGATATACCGAGGCTTAACAAAGTGTGTAAATAACGTATCATCTCATTGAAATTGGAACAGATGAATTAATTTTATTATGTCTCCGTGACAGCCATCCTTTTTATTATTTAGCAATTAATCCAAACCGGGTATAATATAAAAATTTGACATCGGTGAAACAAATAGCCATTCAGGTACCACATTCTAACTTTATTTCTGTGACAACGATGCTACTGTACTTTTTTTTTTTTGACACTGACTTCATTAATATTTTTTTTTATTCTTACTATTTTTTTATGGGTATATTTTACATTGGAACGCACAGTAGAGAAGGGTGTGCGCAATTAAGCAATAATAATCGAGAGGGGTAAAAAAAAGTATAATAAAACTGAAATGGAATTCATTTAATAGGGATAAGTGAAGAAGCTAAGTACATGCAATGAGAGGAAAAAAAGGGAAATAATATAAGATAATAATAAAAACTATCCATGAAGATGGGATGAAGGATGAAATGATGAGGTGATATTGCGAAACTGGTGTGACATTATATTTTATTGCAAGGATTAAAGGATTATGCTTTGATATATGCAATAAGAAGAAAAAGAAATAAAAAGAATGCTACTATGAGTGTGAGCAAGTGTGTGTGTGTGTGGCATATCTACGTATCCACACTTCTTCTCATATATTATCACCGATACTACTACATTGTGTTATCACAAATAATAAATAATAATATAAATAAATAATATTGGTTGCCTCACATAATCATCATTCCAATAATAATACAACAATAATGATCCTAGTATAATAATATCCTATATACAATAATTATCAAATAATATACAAATACTACCATACCTTCTCATTGTATGAGTAAATGTGTAAAAGTAATAATAATCATCCAATGACTAATGGTCAACAAATATATATGTACAACAAATATAATTATATCTCCTCATGTTGTGTTATATCACCATGAATACTACCTGTAATATATATCCGTCATATCAAACAAATGTAATATTAACAAACTACCATGATCAATGATTAAGTGGAATGGATAAGAAAACATATAAATACTGTACTTGTAAAACTAGAATAATCTTGATCTTTATTATCATCTTTATCATTATAATAAATCTATATCGATTCTCACAAGACTTCTTCTGTCTCTATCTCTCTTGTCATTAATTCTATCGTCAATTCATATCCATACCACAGTGTGCAATATTGAATTAGAATAGAAGACGATTTGTTATTACATGTTTTTTTTTAACTATAAAAATAAAGAGATATAATTAACACAAATATATACATGTCCTATCTAATAATGATAATATATATACAAGGGCTTACCAACGAAAAAGAAAGACATGATGAAATATAATGGATAATAATTTTAACTGCTATATACTTTTTGAATTTCATATTTGGGCGTTTTACAGATAGCGCATTCTGTCAATTTTTCAGCGCATGTCTTACAATACACTAATGATAAATATATAAAGTGAGTTAATTAATACTAAGTTGAATAAAAATCCATCAAATAAAAAAAAAAAAAAACTAGACCTACGACGGTGGAAACAGGGAGTCAGAGCATATTCAATATTTTCTTGATTGCAAATGATACAACACTTGGGCTTGAGATCCTTCTTTTCCATTTCAGAAATTTTTCGTGTCAACTGTTCATTGCTTTTTGATTCATTTTCTACTCTTTGTTTCAATCTCCTTAAGCGACGTTCATTTTTTTGCAAATTTCGTTTTGATTGTTTAATCGAATCAAGCAATATACCATTTCCTAGTTCCATGATTTCTGCTTGTTCAATCAATGCATATGATACTGTCATAAAGTAATAAAATGTTTCTTTTTGACACGAAGAAATGATTATTTGACCACATGATAGTTATCACTGATGGAAATTTAGTAGCAATTGGTGGATATCTTTTAATAAAGAGTCATATTACACATTTTTATTGGAATGGCTCGCTTTTTTTTAAGAGAGTATACAGAATAGACCGTTCTGGATACATTGCATAGCCAAATGTGTTCTTCCATGTGTTCAAAGTTCGACAGGAGGCGCAGGAAAAAAAGTGCTTTACATGCAGAAATATACACCTGTTAAAACATCGCAGCCAAGGCCATTTTAAATCACCTACAAGAAGCAAATGATCAACTGAGGTTTTCAATTTCATGCTTACTTTATCTTCTGCTCCCAAGATTACATCAGTCGACTCGTTCATCATATATACATATATATAGAAAGGATTCGTGTTTGAATCAATTACTATATAGCAGTATGCGCTGCGCGACATTTATTAGAAAATAACTACATATCTGTATATATATATATATTCGTTATTATACATTTCCTATAATAAATAGTCCTTCCACCTAAAACACAAAAACATATAACAATAAACACACTTTTATCGAAAATCATATTTATTTAACAAAAAAGAACCTTACTATTCTTATTCACTCCATCATCCAAACCAATATCCATAAATAAATCTTTCATCCACACTGGACTACTTGTATTACTCTCTCACGTTGAGCTAACTATACAGTGGTTGTCATTATTATTATAAAATAAATTCATGCTATTTATAAATCCAATCATCAAATCATAATATAGACAGTAAATATGGGTAATATGGATATCGATAAACATCGGTCTCTGTGACATCTCATTTTTCATCTTTCAAATCCGCTAATTTTTTTTACTTCACATTTTTTTCAGCAAATTACGATTCCTTTTCTTTTATTGTTTCTACTATGAGCAAGCATCGTTGAAAACAATGAAGGCTTGTGTTCATTTTACTTTATTTTTACTTTTATCTTTAGTGGTTTACTGAGTCCAGTTTACTGCGAGTGAGCTGTACACTGGGCCGTACGGTGCAGCTTGCGTTTTTTTTTCTCCATTGGGTTGTGCTGGATGTTCTACCAGTAGACTACTATTTTTTTTTTGTATAGACGTAAAACGAAGAGCAGATGGGTCACAATCTTTTATTTATATATATTCATTTAAGCAAGAAAGGGGCAATTACCGCAAGACTGGAATGACACTGCGGACGATAGCACGATTGACTTACTATTTACAATGGTTACAATGCAAACTGGACAATAAGTGCCACATACTGACGAATGGATAAGAGACTTTGAATGAATGGTGTACGTTGGTGGTTGTGCCATTGAACTAATTTATTGTTACGTACTTTTCTCTAGGTATAATGATGACAACAAAAACAAGATGAGGAAGTTGTAACTTGAATTGGATGGTACCTACAACGAGTCAACAAGTCAAGATGATAGCAAAGGAAGAAGAACACTGGAACATGTCACCAAAATATTAATACGATGATGCGAATAGCTATAGTACACCACTTTAACACCTTTATGAATATGGATGGTTGCTTACATGAATTGGAAACTGGGAATGTGTCGTTTATTTTATATAAAAGTTTCCCATATGTTACAACATAAAAAATAAGACTACCGACTATTGGGCTGTAATAATACAGAATTAAAGAGCATCACGAGCCATTATATATTGTAAACAATGATATGATTCTAACGATTCGATTTTTTTTATTGAAAATAATAATAATGATATAAACATAAATGTTGAATGTCAATTCTTATTATTATGAAAATTCCATAAATACAAATGTAGATCATTTATATTATTGTGATATAATCATGTTATTGTCAAGGAAGCACATATATACAGATCATTTTTAAGAATATGTATAATCTTCTTGCATAATTGGGATAGTCTATTTAACTGTCTCAAGATCTTAAAAATTATACAGTTTTTTAATTAAAATGAGCGCAAGCTACGATAGTTACTGACTAATAATAATGCTGATTATAGATATTAATATGTTAACTCACATTTATACTAAACAAAACAGTTATAAGCAAATGCAGCCTATTAGGCTTATATATAATATATATAAAGTCAGACTACACGGGTAGGTTGACTAGTTTGTAACCTACGTGTGTAGTAATTCTCATATAGAGATATTGTAAAAATTGTCAAAAATATTTATGTTATTCTAATCCAACATTGTCATGCTCAAGATAATAGTGTTCCAGATTATATACTATGATACATTCATCAAACCAAGGCATAGTTATACGTGCACATAATCTAGCGAGATCAGGATTTCCTTACACCACTGTGGCGTATAACTTTTTATCATGACATACTTTGATAAAAAAAAAGTGATATATCACACATTTCTCACACGCACACGCACATATTGGATGGGACAAAGTATTTATACCACACACGGGTGAAGTATTTTGAC